GAAAGGGCGAGCATGTTTGGTGTGACAGGGATTCGAACCCGCGACCCTCAGATTGAAACAAGTATATGGAAGACTTTCTGTATAACAACTAACAGAATATTTTTGAACAAAAGAAAATTAAACAATATTCTTAAATATGGAATTTGAAGTGTTATCAGTTAGTTGATACACATACACAATTATACACATACAGAGGACACAGAAATAAGTATTTGCGGCTATAATGGCGTTTTTGCGTTAACAAATACATTATCAAAAAAAATGTAAAAGATAAGCGAATAAGTTGTACAATGCACAATTATATTGTATTTGCTTTAAACAGTGCAGAATACCATGTTTTTATGTTACCACTACCATATCTGTCGTATCCCGGCTGGCTTCGAGAGCCCTGGTATCAGAAGAAAGGCCTCGTCGGCAGTGAATATAGTAGACATAGTGTGGATGACATATTATTGTTCGCTCTCCTTTACTTTCATTCAGAAGTTCTTATTCACTATTATTAATTTAGTTTTTTTTTCTGTTGACGCCGTGGTCATTCGACCTGCTCCAGGTTCACGAAGAGTAGCTTGTTAATTGACCAGTTCTTTTGAATATGCCCCCCAGTGGCACAACGGTATTTCTGCAGACTTACAACTCTAAAATCCAGGTTTCGATACCCGTGGTGGGCAGAGCACAGATAGCCCATTGTGTAGTTTTATGCTTAATTACAAACAAACAAGCAAACCTTTTGTATATTTAGCAGATTAATTAAAAAATATCAATTAATAATATATTTAAATAACTAACACAAGGTAATTTCAAACATGTGAATTTTTTCTCTCTTATCACACTTTTAACATCAGCTCACCAGTTCTAGATTTCTTGTTTAGTTCAGGTTCTAATGTTTCTTTTAACCTCAGCCACTGCTCATTTTCAGCCTTTCCGATAATTTGGAACAGTTCAATTTCTACATTTACATTCACACATTCTTCTTTATGTCGGATGATATTTGAGAATTATACATACCTTGACACACTATGTTCTTTAACTCGATCACTAAGCCTCCTCACCATCGCCCCTATATACGCTCTATTACAAACAGAGCACTGATATCTATTAGATGACATGTGATCGGTCCGCTTTGCTAATTCTGTCTTTGAATACAAAATAGTTCCTTATTCTGTATTCTGGTTTAAGTACCACACATAGTTCAACTTGTGGGTAATCATTACAAAGGAAGTTCTTTATATTTTTCTTGATTTTCAAAGCATGAGTTCCAATAAATGGTAGTGTCATATACACAAACTTTTTTGGAACATTATCTTTCTCTTCTTTAGGGGCGACCGCTTTCTTGATATAATCGTTGATAACTCGTGTTAAACCTTTTATTGGGAAGTCATTCAAACACAAGTAATTTTAGATGTTTTCCACTTCATCACTACATAGTTTATGAGCTCTATATACGAGAATTCTGATTAGATTCTCTTTAAAGTTATTAGGTATAAAACTATTATAGTTAAAGTACAACCCCGAAAATGTAGGTTTATGATAAATTCCAATTTCAATTTTATCATCTTTTTTCTTAACTAGAGTGCCTAAAAAAGGTAACATACAATCTCTTTTTTTTCTACCGTGAATTTAATATTATTATGTTGTTTCTTCAGATAATTCAATAAATTATCTACTTGTTCTTCACTTTCA